ATTTCTTTCTGCAATTATTAATCAATACGTGAAAATTGCATATGGACACATATTATTTTATAAATTTCCCCGTATAGTTGAAATTACCATAAAATAAATTGGATGCTCAATTTATTGGTTGTGTCAAACTTATTACTTAATTGTGGACGTGATTAAAATTAGTCACGCGAACTTTGTAATCTGTTATTTATATTGATCCCTATCCACAATATCCGTAAGCTCTGGCGAAAATTTTCATTTATTTGGTTAATTATATATAAACAGGTTCCATTCAGACCACTCTTGTTTGTGTGGAAACGTGCCGGGTCGTAAAATCAACAAAATGTGGGTTGCAAAATACCGTCGTTCCACATGAGTGAAGGATATTGATGGAAACCTTCCTCCAGTGTTTTGATGCGGTAATTCTTTATCGTTTTAGTAAATGGCTGTTATTGCATTATTTCTTAAAAAATGAAATTATTGAGCGCTTTTAATAGTTTCTTAACGGAGTCTTGAAAGTAATGTTTTGTAAATAAATCGTTTGAAGGATTATCTGCTACTATAAAATATATTCTATCTACCACAATAATATATTTAGTTGAATTTGGAACTTTTTAATATGTACGCATTGCCAGCCATTTACTACAAAGACGCAATATTATTATACAGGATGTGAATGATATGCTCTGGCAAACTTTAATAGTGGGTTCTATGTTAAAATTAATAAAATATGTTCCTATGGACATACAGGTTGTTACAAATTCGCTTCTCACTACAGGGATCTCGGAAACGGTAAGAGGTACGAAGTAGCTTAAATGAGGACAAAATTGCGTAATCAGGGGTCCAACATTACGCCTCTAAAAAATCAAGGCTAACATGATTAGTTTTCGAAATATTTGAAAAGAACCGAAATTTTTGGAAATCCGTTTTTGTTTCATTTCAGCCTTGTTTGAGGCGATATTGAAAAAAGAAGAACACTCTCTCATGGTCACTTTTTGCCCTCTAGCGAATGGCATAATTAATTTTTATATGTAACGTTTTGTCTCTTCAGGGCCATCAACAACTTCGTTTTTTTAATTTCTATTAAGGTGCTTGAAAAGTAGACTGATGAAATTTGGCCTAATGACTGAACTATGACTACGTTAAAAAAATTGCTGACTTAGTATACAAATCCGTCAATCAGTGGCGGAGATACAGGGAAACCCCCTACAATTTCGACTCTAATGAATATTTTGAAAATTAAAAAAGTACACTTAATTCGATACACTGTCGATAGCCGCACGGTTTAAGGCGTCATACTTAAATCGATGTGTCGATCTGCCCGGGTTTCGAATCCCGCGGCCGGTAGACCGTAGATTAGCTATGCTTGTACGGAGGATTGGCACCCTCTGTGCAGGTATGGTAGGGTGGAAGAATGTTGGCTCGGGCCAATGTGAGAGATTGACACCGTTGGCATTTGACCACCCCCCTAATTAATGAGGTTTTCCAGGTTTCCCTCATTCCTGCACTGAATGGTGGTTAGGGCCTACCAACATAAGTCGTTCCTGGGCGCAAATGCGGCCTGCGTAATAATAATATGCCGCCTCCTCTCCCGCACAAGTCTCCGACTTCTGGGCTAATTCTCGTAGTTAGAATGAGGAGTAGAGATATTATTATTATT